GAGAGAGAGAGAGAGAGAGAGAGAGAGAGAGAAACCAGCCCCTGGGGGTGGCCACACCACAGTTCCTTCTCTCCCATTCTCCTTTCAGAATGTGGACAACGCTCACGCATGTACCCCGCATGATTTTCAGGCTGCCTGGTCTGGGACTTGAACAGCACAGTTGGCCATGTAGGATCCAGCCACCTTATCCTCCACGCCACCTGCTAGCCCGGCATCCACTTTTCTTAAAACCTGCACAATTACTTTCTCATGCCATTAATTAATTAATTTGTAATATTCTATCATTGGGTGAGATACCATAATTTCCCTAACCATTTTCATTTCTTAATGAATCATTCAATTTTATCTAATTTTATGTAAATACCATATTAGCAGTGAACAACTCTGGACATCAATCATTATTCTTATTATTATCTTTTAGGTGTTTGCCATAGGGTGTGTGCACAGAGAGACACAGAGTGAGGGAAAGTGAGAAGTCATTCCCCGGGGGTATGGTCACACCAATCTCTTCTCCTTTCTTCTCCTCCTGGGATTTGAGTCATGCACACACATGAGCCTGGTATGATTTTCAAGCCACAGAGTCTGGGGACCCAAAAAGCAGTCGGCCATATGGGAGTCCTGCACCCGAACCACTATGCCATCTGCTGGCCCCTCAATCATTATTTTTATTTCTGATTATCACATTAGGATTTTACAAATTAAATTAAAGTCAAAATGGGGCCAGCAGGTGGCACAGTGATTAAGGCATTGGACTCCCACATGGCTGATCACAGGTGAGTCCCAGATCTGGCAGCTTGAAAACCATGTGGGGCATGTGTGTGTGCATGCCCAAAATCCCAAGAGGAAAGTGGAGGAGAAGGGACTGAGGCATGTCCACATCTCGGGGGTGATTTCTCACTTTCCCTCTCTTTGTCTCTCTCTGGTGAATACATGCACTCTATGGCAAAAACCGAAACCAAAAACATTAATAGGTCAAAAAGTATGAGTGTCATAAAAATGATAAGTTTCTCTTTGTTTATATTTGGAAAAAGGTACTCATGGCCTTCGGGCCCAACTCCTCGTGAAGTGAGCTTCCACACACTTTGAGTGTCTAGACAGGCGTGAGTGCACAGCAGCAAGACAACAGAGTACTTTTAGTGTCATAGAAAACCTCAACCCCCCGATGACTTGCTACAGAAAAGGAAAAACTCATCTTTATAAATCTGAATTCAGATCTCTTTCTGTGGATACAATGTTTGAAATCACAGTAGTAGAGGAAAATAGGCACAGAAGTACCTCAGAGTTAAGTGAAGCGTATGAGCTTACAGTAGCAGAAACCTCCAACAAATTAGTCAAATGTGTATATACCACCAAATGACTAAAACTCAGAGAGCAGAGGCGCAAAGTGAGCAGCAGGGAGAAACACGGAGCTATGGAGAGCGCGGCTCCTCTCCTCCCACACACCTCTGAATTCTTAGTTGAAATCCCACAGCTCAGCCCTGGTGCACCTATTCCCGAGAAACTGTCAGGCCTTTGTAATTCCCAGCTCCATTGACAAAAGTGCTGGTTGCCTTTTTTTTTTTTTTTTGAGAGGTGTTTGCTATAAGGCATGTGTGCTTGCCAGACAGACAGAGACAGAGAGATAGAAAGCCAGAAATCATCCCCCAGGGGGGATGGCCATGCCATAATCCCTTCTCCTCCGTTCTCCTCTTGGGATCTTGGGCACGCATGCACATGTGCCTGACGTGAGTTTTAAGCCACCAGGTCCAGGACTCGAACCGTGGTCGGCTATGTGGGAGTCTAGCGACATGGCCATTATGCTAACTGCTGATCCCAAAAGTGCAGGTTGCTTGATTAGGATCAGGGAAACGGAACTGCAGAGATATTGCAGGTCATTGCCGCTCGCACACCTCTGGCACTCAGCATTAACTCCAAGAACGTAGGGAGTAATGGATAATCCACCTGATGACCAGGAATCACCAGAGGCACGAGAAGTGTGGGAAACCAAGGAGATATCTCTCCCCCAAGAGGAAAGAACAGCCCTTCACCATCCACAGACAGTACAATGGAACTCAGAAATGTCAGAAAAGCATTTAAAATATGCACAGTGACAAAGCTGGCAGAGATGCAAGACAAGAGAGACAACAAACTCCAGAAGATGCAGGAGAAAAGAGACAATGAGTTCTAGGAGGTGAGGAAGTTCTTACATGATCTGAAAGAGGAAATACTATAAAAAAGAATCACATGGAACTGTTAGAGATGAAGGCTGTAATATAGGAAATCAAAACCTCCTTTGAAAGTATTTTTTTAAAAAAAGTATTAGATCATGCAGAAGATCGAATCTCAGATATAGAAGACAGAATATCTGATCTAGAAAAATACACCAAAAAGACTGAGAAAATAACCCAGAAATGCAAATAATATATGAGTAATACTACATACTATTAGACACCCAAACATCTGGATAATCAGTATCCCAGGTGAAGAAACTTAATACAATAAGGGCATGGATAATCTATTCCAAGAAATCCTGCAAGAAAACTTTCCAAACCTAGAGAGGCATTCAAATATCCAGACCCAAGAAATACAAAGGACTCCACATAGAATCAACCCAAGAAGATCTCCAAGGCACATCATAGCCAGATTGACCAAAACACAGAGAGACAAGATACTAAAATTGGCCAGATAGAAATGTCAAGTTACTTTCAAAGAATATCCCACCAGGCTAACATCACAGCTCTCATCGGAAACAATGCAAGGAAGGAAAGAATGGGAAAATATATTCAAAAGTTAAGAGAAAAACAATTTCAGCCAAGAATACTGTATCTGGCATGATTATGCTTCTTATGGGAAGAAAAGCCCGAAACATTCTCTGATAAACAAAACCTGAAAGAATTTACCAACACCAGACCAGCTCTTCGAGAAGTTCTGAAGGGAGTGCTCTATCAAGAAAACTAAAGACAGACAGAAATAAGAGAACAAAAATGAACAAGAAAAAGGCCAACTTAATGGTAGAGACAAGTTTGGAAATATCAATAATAATGCTGCATGTTAACTTTCAGGATTTAAACAGAAAGATCAGACCACAGTAACACTGCAAATTCAACAGAAGAGAGATTACATGAGACTGACCTGGTGAAGTAGAATTCTATGATTTTTGTCTAAAACATTACTGATTTTCTTCTAGGCTTTGTCTTCCAGATGTAAGGATTTTGGTTCTCTTGTGGGTTGTTGATAGGTTCAACAATTTGTTAAATTTTTTAAAAATTGAAACAAACTTTTTCTCCTTTCCTGACCCCTTTGCAATTGGAAAATATTTGTGAGCATTCTTATTTTGTGACAGAATGGTTATTTGCATGAATTCAATAATACAACAGAATCTGCTGCCTTGCATCAGAAATTGAATTTTTTTTTTGGAGAGGTTTTTGCTAGAGGGCACGAGCGCTCGCCAGAAAGATAGAGACAGAGAGACAGAAAGCAAGAAACCACCCCGCCCCCCCAGGGGGGATGGCCACACCACAATCCCTTTTCCTCCATTCTCCTCTTGGGATCTTGGGCACGCACACACATGCGCCTGGCGTGAGTTTAAGTCACCAGGTCTGGAACGCGAACTGCGGTCGACTACATGGGAATCCAGCAACATAGCCATTATGCTAACTGCTGATCCCAGAATTGAATTTCTATGGGGCTTTGTGCAAATAACAGACCAAATTGAGATTAACCTAATTATTTTACAGATAAGGTAGTTTATACCTGTCTTTAGTAAAAGGGGGAAATGGAGAGAAAAAAATGCTTCAGAAGAAAATTACAGTATTCTTGTCACTAGATTCTAGCTTTGTCCATATTTTTAGTTTAAGATATTTTGTGAGTCAACAAAATAGGGAAAAAAATTTAGTATAGAAGGGAGGGAGAGGAAAAGGGAAGGAAAACACAATTAAAAGTATACATAAGTGAATAAGAGAAAATGAGAAGCTATTTGCTGATGACAAGTTATAGAGTAATATCTTTGTCTTGATTGACACACATGGTATTTGCACTGGAAAAAGAAATGCCATATACTGTAATCATGTGTGATTAAATGTAAATAAACAAATAAAATAAATAGAGAAATTTTTAAAGATGCTCATTGTACAAGATTTGGGAATTTTTTATTTTTTTTTTAGAGAGAGATTTTTGCTATAAGGCATGGTGCACTTGCCAGAGAGATGGACAGAGACACAGAAAGTCAGGGAGATAGAAAGCAAGAAATCACCCCCCAGGGGGATGGCCACCCCATAGTCCCTTCTCCTTCATGAATTTTGGGCATGCACACATACATGTATGGTTTGAATTTTAAGCTGCCAGGTCCAGGACTTGAACTGTGGTCAACTATTTGGGACATAACCATTACAACATCTGCTGGTCCCTGCCAAAATTTTTAAAGCACCAAAATAAAATGTAATCCCATGTATTTGCCTCAAAAATTATGTCTATTTGTGGGAATCTGATGTGTTTTTTTTTTTTTTTTGCTATAGGACGCGTGCACTCGCCAGACAGACAGAGAGAGACAGAGAGACAGAAAGTGAGAAATCACCCCCCAGGGGGGATGGCCACGCCGCAATCCCTTCTCCTCCATTCTCCTCTCGGGATCTTGGGCACGCACGCACATACGCCTGGCATGAGTTTAAGCCACCGGGTCTGGGACGCGAACCGCGGTCGACTATGTGGGAGTCCAGCGACATAGTCATTACGCTAACTGCTGGTCCTGGAATCTGATGATTTTTTAACAAGTTGAAATCACGTTTTTCTTCTCTTGGCTAAAGGGCACAGGTGCTCACCAAGGAGAGATGAAGAGGCAAAGAGGAAGACGTAAGGCAGTCACCTGAAAGCTCCGGGGTTGGTCCTGCCGAGCCCCAGGACGAGGGACTCCGTGACCTCCATGCTCTCGGAGCGCATCATTGGAACTATGTGCTTGAACAGCGACGAAGGGGATGGGATGCCAATAATCTGGAAGAGACAGTACGGTTACAGCAGCCGCGATGCAGGGTGGCCCACGAAGCGACCTTGCTCACGGTCAGTGCAGCTGGAGCCACAGCACGGACAGTCCGCGAGGTTCGCCAAGGCGCGAACACGCAGCCTCAAGGTGGAAGCATCTATCATCCCACAGCTGAGTGCAAGTTCATTACCTGAATCTGTGGGCCTCTGGGTTTCTTACCGATACTCACCGGCACACAACAGGCTGTTCCTCCATTACCGATCCTGTATCTTTGAATCCATGAATATGAATAAAACAAAATTACTTCTAAAAATAGGCAGCAGTGGGGCCAGTGGGTTGAGCAGTGCTTAAGGTGCTGGACTCTCACGTGGCCGACAGCGGTCTGAGTACCAGACCTGGTGGCTCGCTTCCTCACTCCCCCTTACCCCCAATCTCTCTCGGGTGAACACCCATGCTCATTACAAACTTAAAAAAAAAAAAAGAAAAGAGAAATAATAATAAAAAATAAAAATAAAAAACAATGGGCATCAGTGTACATGTCAGACACTCTGGTCTTAGTTTTCTGGGGTGCCTCAAATCCCTCCATCATGCTGTGTGTCAGATCGGAAAAGCTACGCAAGTGTGGGCTTTTCTCCTCCATCAAAAACGACATATGTATTTTTTAAGAATTTATTTACATTTTTATTCTAGTTTGTTATGGGATGTGTGTGCTTGCTGGAGAAAGACAGAGAGAGGGAGAGAGAGGGAAACTAAGAAATCACCCCTGGGCCAGCAGGTGGCGTGGTGGTTAAGGCGCTGAACGTTCCCACATGGCCGATCACAGTTTGAGTCCTAGACCTGGTGGTTTGCTTTCTCACTTTCCTTCTCTCTGTATGTCTTTCTCTGATCAAATTAAAATAAATGAATAAATAAAATAAAATAAATAATTCGTGGGTGTGTGTGTGTGTGAGAAATCATCTCTAGAGAGGATTACCATGCTGCAATCCCTTCTCCTCCACTCTCAAGAGAGTTTGGGCACACACAGACATGTGCTGGCCTGTACAAGCCACTGGGTCTGGGACTTGAACCACACAGTTGGCCATGTGGGGTCCCGGCTGCCTTAACCACCATAGAACTTGGTGGGTCCCAAAACACTGTGTATGTATTACTGATCTGACTATGAATCCATAAATGGTAATGAGATTTCCTCAAATATTTTCATTTTTAGTGCAAGTACGTAGCACACTTCCTAACCAGGTTTTACTGTCAAGGAAAACAAACGTTAAAACACGACTTCCACGTGCTGCTCCTGTCCCTTGGCGGACCTGGAAAGCTTACTTTAGAATCGATGCTGTAGCCGCTATCCGGGGTGGACGCCAGCGTCTCCGGGGGAGAGCACCTGACCGAGCCGGCGGACGCAGGCGAGGACGAGGAGGCCGCCGCGCTGCAGCACAGGATCAGGTAGTTCCTCCACAGGCCCACGTAGGAGTCGCTGCTCGAGGCGGTGCTCACTTTCTTAGCGTTGATGGGGCTGCTGCGAGAGCGAGGGCAGGCGTGAACTGCGCGGTCTTGCCGTGCCACCCCCTCCCGCTTCAGGCTCCCTGCTGGCCCTACCGCGTAGACCTCCATGCACGGAGGTACCCAGGCCGCCCACGTGGCCCAGCGCTGAGCAGGTGTGTGAGTGGGACAGGCCACCATGGGCGGGACGGACAGTCTCATTGTAACTAAGGCTGATCTCTATCGAGATGGGGGGTATTAGGGCTGTCATTGTTAGTACTAAATACCTTGGAATTCTATAACATGAACAATGAAGTATGAGGCTGAAAGCTGGAACATATTACGGGGTCCTAAGTTTAAAAACAATCAATTTTCCCTGTGACAAAGATACATATAACTTTAAAAAAATGTTTAATATTTTACTACGACTCATTTTATAAGTTATTATACATGCTCAATGTAGAAAGAAAACCAAAGGAAAATTAAAATCGCCTTTAATCTCACCCCAAAATAAACGACGTCAGTTCACACACGTGTGTTCTACATGCACAAACACCCTCTCTCTTCCTTTTTAACTGCCAGAGGGAGTGTGTGCTTCCCAGATACAGAGAGAAGGAGGGAGAGGGCGAAGGCGCCCACGTGGGATGTGGTCCCGCTGCGGTGCCTTCTCCTCCAGTCAGTTCTCCGTCCTGCTGGAATTTGGGGCACGCACACCCAGGCACCAGGTGTGTTTTTTAAGTTGCTGGAGCCAGGATTTGAACCACTGTCAGCCATGTGGGACTTGCTCCCTTACTGGGCCAGGCCAATCCATCCCTTTTAATGTGTAGAAACTGAATAATATTGCTTCTTTTGTTTTATACCTACTTTTTTATACTGAACATCTGTTTTTCGCGTCTTTCCACGTAAAGTGCTATACTTCCATGAGGTCATTTTGATGACTGTATACGATATCATTGCCTAAGTCACCATACTGTATATAGCCAAACTCACACTGAACACTTTCGCTAATAGCAATTTTCTCTATTATACACAAGGCAGTACATTAATATAGGCTTAATTGGAACATAAGCATAATTGTTTTCTTAGGTCATTCTCGGAAATGGAATAGCACATTTTTTCCACATTTTTAAGGCTGTTGGCAAATTTGTCTTGAAAGGTTACACCAATAAAATACTTTGGAACAATTCCATACATCTTTCAAACACCCAAGCTCTGTTGGGATTCAGGACTGAGAGCAAAACACAACAAAACACAACAAAACACTAACACATCCACGTAATCCTTGCCTTCGGTAGGTTTTTACACATGACAGTAAATAATGCATACACATCAACAAGGGTGTCTTCGCACAGTGTCTCAGTATGGCAGAAAACGTTCTGAGCACTGGCGACATGGCCAAAACAAAAAAACAGGCAAAAGTCACCGGCCTCCTGTGCACTAGGGAAGCCACACAAGAAATCAATAAAATGATGTTGGAGGGAGCCACATTGGATGAAGAAAAACAGAGCAGAAGGAAGAGACGGGACACGGAAGAGGGGCGATCATTTAAAACATGGCAGTTAGGGAAGACTAAACTGGACAAGGCCATAAATGTCATCTAGAGTAGCAAGTGTCAATCTTCATTTTAAAAACCTAACGTTCTGGGGCCAGCAGGTGGCGTGGTGGTGATGGGCGCAGGACTCCCACATGGCTGACCACGATGTGAGTCCTAGACTTGGCAGCTTGCTTTCTCACTTTCCCTCTCTCTTTTTCTCGTTCTGTCCCTCTCTAGTCAAATTAAAATAAGTAAATAAAAATAAAGTTATATAAAAATAATTCTTTAAAAAAAAATACCATTCAGCACATAATGCCTGAAGAGCTACATATGTATATCATTAACAGAAATACACAGAAATACCAAAAATAAACCAGAAGATCTTCCATAAATTCATGGAAAATTTACAAAAATATGCATTGATTTAAAGTGTTTTTATACCCAAATAAACTGGTACTTTAATTCTATTTTTCCATAATCTTTTTAAAAGTACCTTCCTATACAGTCGAACCCAGAAGAAGGACTGATTCCGCTGGCCTCCTCCTCATGGATCAGGAACAGTAAGGCCACTGAGCTTGGTCTCTGTCTCCCTCTCCTCCTGTATCTACAACTGTCTAGCTCCACGTCCACGCTTCACTTCCCTAATTTTTTCATTAAATGTACATTCACTGGACACATGCTATGTACCAAGCACAGTACTATTAAATAAATCAACCATTAACATTTGGTGAGACTGGGGCCGGCAGATGGCATAACGGTTTGTTGCTGGACTCCCACGTCATCAGCTGTGGTCAAGCCCTGGACCCAGCAACCTAGAATTCACAGTGGGCGCATGAGTGCGTGCCCAAAATCCCATGAGAATGGAGAAGGGATTGCGGTGCAGCCATCCACCCCAGGGGTAATTTCTCGCTTTCTGTCTCTCTGTCTCTCCAGAGAGTGCATACGCCCTATAACAAAAATCTCTCTCTCAAAAAAAAAAAAAAAAAATTGGTGAGACTGAATTACATGTAAAAGATAAAGGGGTTAAAGACCCTTCAGAATTTTCTTCTTTCTCCTTAAGATATCAAAACGGAAGGGCATACGACTTCCAAGACTTTCGATCCGCACTACTTCTCACACACGCACACCTACTGAGAGCCGACGGTCTACACATTTAAAATGAGATGTTGGTGAAATAACTTACTTCAAGTCGACCTGCGGGGACAGCGACTGAAGTCTCGTGTACGCGAACAGCCAAGCGTAGCTCACGGCTGTGGGGCAGTGTTTAGGAAGGTTTTCTTGCTTTAAGAAACTGGAGAGGCTGATGATCCACGGGTCTTGGCCTTGGGTCACGTGTGCAAAGATCCATATGTGTGAGGGACTAACCACATCGAACTGGTGGCTGATGGGGGAGGAGTTCCATTCTGCTAACGTCTGCAAATCTATGGAGCTAGGGCAGTACAGCAAAGTCGTCTACACAGAGAAAAGGACAGTCAGTGCATAGTCGGGGGACCTTCAAAGTCGGTCTACAAACTGCTTTAAACTATCAATAGAAGTGCTCAGGGGTGTCCCGGAACACGCTGACATGGGATGAGGTTCCAGGTAGCTTTAAGGGAGTAGTACATTCCTACAATTACGTTATGTAGCGTGTGTGTGTGTGTGTGTGTGTGTGTGTGTGTGTGTACATGTGAGTTTTTCTCATTTTTTTTAATTCCTGAGGGCCTATGTGCTCGCCAGAGACACAGAGAGGAAGAGAGCACCCCCAGTGCATTGTCACGCCACAGTTCCTTCTCCCCCATGTCTCTGTCCTGGTGGGGTTGGGGCACACATGCACACGTGACCAGTGCAGGTTCTAAGCTGTTGGGGCTGGAGTTCGAAATGCAGTCGGCCAGGTGGGATCCTCCTCACCTCACCACTAGGCTGCAGAGCGGGCCTCACATGGGTATTTCTGAAGAGAGATTTTTACCTTTCATTACCCTCAAAAAGATCTATAGACCAAAAAATCCAAAAGTGAACAACTACTGTGTAAGCAGCTCGCAGGTTTCCAGGGCTGTACTGAAGCTGCTGGAGCACTGGAGGCGGCCCTTAGCTTCCATGCTGAGGGCCCTGTCTGTGCGTGAGGGTGACGGACTGGGAGCAGGTGGAAGGGGTCTCCTCCAGGGAGCACAGTCGAGCATTTTTACCAGAGAGAGAGGTTTCCCTTCAGCGTATTATGTTCATTAAACACCGCGTTAGGCACTAACTCCTCTCTGTGAAATTACTTATAGTTAGTCACCAAAGCCAAGATTCTTTGACTTGAACAGGTTATTCATGGCCTGCTAGGCCTGGAACATGCCGCTTCCTCCCACGCCGTCCCGCCCAGGCTGTCTGGCTCAGGAGGTACAAGGGCCAGACACCACACAGGGAGCATGCATGTTTCATTACGCTAACTGCTGGTCCCAGGGAGCATGTACATTCCCAAACAGAAAGGGGACACTGGGGCAGTTATCCCAAAGTCAACCCTGCAATCTTCATATATGATCTTTTATCTTTTCTTTCAAACCCAACTATGCAAGTTTGCACTAGCCTTCAAGTATGTGTGTTGACAAAGAGTTCTCTCCATTTTAGTGGGTCAAATTACCCGGGACACTGACACAGAAAACTACACACTTAATCTACCGGACTTAAACTTGTGTGATAAAGCAAACACAAACTATGCATCGAAGAAGCACCGTACAAGTTTTTCTTCAAATTTCAATGAGAGTTTCATAGCATTTTAACCGGTATCTCTATGTCAAGAATATAATATTTATTACTCGCCATAATAAATAGCAAATAGCAGTCCACAGTAATCTTAGATTGGAGACATTCAATTTTTACAAAAGTAAAATATTTTTTATTTCTATGGGGAAAGA